TTCAAGAACTCAAAGGATCTGCTCTAGCAGATGCTTTTAGGCTATGTATTATAATCGCCTCTCTGGGCCTCAGTTTTCTCCTCATTAAAATGGAGTAATAACATCTATCTTTCAGGATTGTTATGAAAATTAGTGCTGAAACAACAGATGCTAGTGAGGTTGTGGAGAAATAGGAACACTTTTACATTGCTGGTGGGAGTATAAATTAGTTCAACCATTGTGGAGACAGTGTGGCGATTCCTCAAGGATCTTAAACTAGAAATACCATTTGACCCAGCAATCCCATTACTGCGTATATGGCCAAAGTATTATAAATCCTTCTACTGTAAAGACACATGCTCACATATGTTTATTGCAGCACTGTTCACAATAGCAAAGACTTGGAACCAATCCAAATGCCTATCAATGATAGACTGGATAAAGAAAATGTGGCACTGGCCAGGTGTGGTGGCTCACGCCTGTAATCCAAGCACTTTGGAGGCCAAGGCAGGTGGATCACTTGAGGTTGGGAGTTCAAGAACAGCCTGACCAACATGGTAAAACCCTGTCTTTAAAAAAAAAAAAAAGAAAAGAAAATGTGGCACATATACACCATGGAATACTATGCAGCCATAAAAAAGAATGAGATCATGTCCTTTGCAGGGATACGGATGAAGCTGGAAACCATGATTCTCAGCAAACTAACACAAAGAGAAAACCAAACACCGCATATTCTCACTCATAAATGGGAGTTGAAAAATGAGAACACATGGACACAGGGAGGGGAACATCACACACCAGGGCCTGTTGGAGGGTAGGAGGCAAGGGGAGGGAGAGCATTAGGACAAATACCTAACGCATGCAGGGCTTAAAACCTAGAAGATAGGTGCAGCAACCACTACGGCACATGTACACCCATGTAACAAACCTGCATGTTCCACACATGTATCCCAGAACTTAAAGTAAAATAAAAAATTTTTAACAAGAAAATGAAAGTGCTTAGAACAGTGCCTGGCATGTGGTGAGCACTCTGGAAGTGTTTGCTATTGTAGCATGTGGCAAACCACACTCTGACTCTGCCACTTATTAGCAGTGTAATCTTGTGCAAATTACTTTACCTCTCTGAGCTTCAGTTTCCTCCTCTGTAATGTAGGAGTAACCTCACAGGCCTTATTGTGGAGATGAAATAAAGTTAAATGGATGATGTGTGGGAAATACTAAGCACAGTGCTTGGGATGGAATAAAGATCCAACAAATACCAACTATTTTTATTTCTATGATTTTATTGTCACATTTCTTTCATCAGGTTTAGACTTGTACCTCTTCAATCCAGTTTACTTCAGTTCATTCCCCAATGGCAGCAAAAGCACTCTTTTTAAAAAGTAAGCAGCCTCAGAATGAATCTATAGTGACAGAAATACATCAGTGGTTGTCTGGAAGTGGAGAGGAGGGACGATTAACTGCAAACAGGTACAAGAGAAATTTCTAGGATGAGAAAAATATTTTATATTTTGACTGGTGGCGGTCGCACAGGTGTATTCATATGACAAGACTCATCAGACTGTACACTGAGATGGATGCATTTCTTTTTATGAAAACTTTACCTTAATAATGTTGATTAGAAACACCATACACTGGGGCCAGTTGGGGAGTTGAGGACTAGGGGAGGGATAGCACTAGGAGAAATACCTAATGTAGATGACAGGTTGATGGGTGCAGCAAACCATCATGGCACATGTATACCTATGTAACAAACCTGCACGTTCTGCACATGCATCCTAGAACTTAAAGTAAAGTATTAGTTCTGGGATGCATGTGCAGAACGTGTAGGTTTTTTACATAAGGTGTTCTTAGGCAGGTCACCTTCCTCTCTGGGATACCTGCATGTTCTGCACATGCATCCCAGAACTTAAAGTATTTCATTTTTTTTTTTGAGATGGAGTTTCACTCTTGTTACTGAGGCTGGAGTGCAATGACGCGTTCTCAGCTCACCGCAACCTCCACCTCCTGGGTTCAGGCAATTCTCCTGCCTCAGCCTCCTGAGGCACATGCCACCATGCCCAGCTAATTTTTTGTATTTTTAATAGAGACGGGGTTTCACCATGTTGACCAGGATGATCTCGATCCCTTGACCTCGTGATCCACCCCCTTGGCCTCCCAAAGTGCTGGGATTACAGGCGTGAGCCACCGCGAACGGCCCAAGACTTAAAGTATAATAAAAAAAAAAGAAAAAGAAAAAAAGGTAAGCAGCCTCCCCGGTCACTTATTACATTATTATATTTTCTCTTCTCCATGGCACTTTTCAATATATAAAATTATTTTATCCATTTTTTTATAAGTATGTTGCCCAACTCATCCCTCCATTAGAATATAAACTCTTTGAGGGCAAGCACTCTGCACGTTTAGCACATAGTAGGAGGCTGATAAATTCTTCTTGGCAGACTGACTAATGATTAATGTCCATCAATGGTTCTACCGCCAAATTATCTGTTGATTTCATCTATTATCATTATTTCTGCTAAGACCATTTCAGCTTAGGGCACTATTATCTCTTGCCTTGATTATGCAATGGCCTCCTTGCTTCCACCATTGCTCCTTCATTTCAGTCTCCACAGAGACCCCAGTGGTCTTTTAAAAATATAAATCAGATAGTATTGCTCCCCTACTTCAAAAATGGCAATAAAAATGATTAAGAAGCTGAAGAAATGAACAAGAAAAGGCAATTTAAAACTCTAGGAAAATACAAAAGTTATATAAGAAAGATCATGGTCTTAATATGAAATCAACCAAAGTGTAACTCTGGAGCAGAGATGACTCTCCACTCATAAGTTCAAAAAATACTCCAGCTATTAACGATGAGGGGGAGAGATGGCCCTCAGACCAAAAAATTCAGTTTTCTATCTTCTAAATGTTGCCACTTCCGTGTCTGCTGTTCCAGTCTACATGCCCTTTATATCTAGCAAATTTCTATTACCTTCCTGCCATGGTGGGACACAAGAGTCTCCTGTGGGATCATCCAGAGTCTCACCTGCCTAAACATACAATGTAGTTGTGACTCTCTTGAGTCTTGTCATCTCCCCATTGTGTGCCCCAAGGTGTTTCCAGAAAGTGAGTCCTGGTCCCTCCTGTCTCAGGAACCCAAAACATCACCTTCTTCTCGCATCACAGTCAATCTCTTTTTCATAGGGGAAAGTCTCTGTTTCTCTGAGTCATTTGGTACACCCATAAGTCACATTCTGTTTTACTTATTTCCCCAAACTCTATAATTTTTCTAAAGATATTAGGGTTGGGGGAAACTAAGCTGGAGAAAGTGCAGGAAATTTATGTGTTTTATCCCATTAAACCTCTCACCCTAGGTAAGAAGTACCAAATTGGCTATCTATTTGAATGGAAGAAGGGGAAATAGAAAAACAGGGAGGAATAAAAAAGTGTAAATTATTATCTCAAAATATTACCTAGCCAGTTTCCCCTTAGCAAATTTTTGTGTATTCATAAAGTTTATTTCTGACCTTTGTTTAACCCTCTCAACAGCATAATGTCTGAGTTTTGCATTTTTCAAGGTAGTAGACATTGTGACCGATTTTCCAACATTCCATCTGTTCTATGATTAATCTAAGCAATTCATGGCAATTTACCTCTTTGTCAGGGGTGGACAGCCTAAACCAATTTGGGCCAATGAGATTCAAGGAGACACATAATGAGGGCTCTAGGAAAGAAACTTCTTCAAACTTGAATGCTGTGGAAAGGCAGGCTCTTTCTTCTGTAAGTTGTGAATGAGGAAATATAGAGTTCCCATTGCCTGGCAGTCACACTACAGCAGCAAAGGGTAAAGCCAAAACTGTGGGCAGCAGAGCAAAGAAGTAGAAAGAGACTACCACCTCTATGCCATCCTTCAGCCGCTGGGCCCTGCCCTCACTCTTCACTGTCTAAGCCAATGTGGGTTGGCTTTTCTGTTACTTGTTGTTCACTGCATTCTATCTGATTTAGAATTTGGTGCCAGGAACAGAAGTGCTGCAAACACCAAACTGTAATGAGTTGCATGCTGGCTCCCCAAAGATATATCTACAAGCTAACCCCTGGAACCCGTGAGTGCTACCTTATTTGGAAAGAGTCTTTGTAGGTATTATATTATTTTCAGATGTTGAAGAGACCCAAATGAAAGATATTTTAGTTAGAAAATTCACATTTAACCTTTATTATATGACCATTTATCAAGATCAATAAAAGTCTTTTCAACAGAACTTCATAGATGCAGGAGTTCAAGTTTTTTTTTTTTTTAATTAGTTCAATGACTTATTTGACAATGTTACTAACTTCAGAAATCGATTTTCCTGTAACTGAAAAGAATCCTGGTCTGGTAGTCTGAGTACGTAATTTCTGTCCTTGTCTTAGTTACTAAGCTGGGGTCTTAGGCAGGTCACCTTCCCCTCTGAATATTAGTTACTTCTTTTTTGTTTTTGAGACGGAGTTTCGCTCGTTACCCAGGCTGGAGTGCAATGGCGTGATCTTGGCTCACCGCAACCTCCACCTCCTGGGTTCAGGCAATTCTCCTGCCTCAGCCTCCTGAGTAGCTGGGATTACAGGCACGCGCCACCATGCCCAGCTAATTTTTGGTATTTTTTTAGTAGAGACGGGGTTTCACTATGTTGACCAGGATGGTCTCGATCTCTTGACGTCGTGATCCACCTGCCTCGGTAGTTAGTTCTTCTGTGGAACTTTTGGTGGCTCCCAATTGCCCGGGTGCATCAGAATTGTCTAGGTCCTTGTTACAAACACATATTTCTGGGTCTTCTCTCAGTCCTACTGAATCAGATTTTCTAATATTGGGGCAGGAGTCTGTATTTTTAGTTAACTGGGTGTTTACAATGTACAGCCAAGTTTGTGAAGTATTGGATGAAGACCTCCAGGGTCCTTCCTTGCTCTAAAAATTTGTATTCTGATTTCTACTCCTTCTATCACTGTTTGTCCTAACTTTGCTACTAGATGTTGTGTTAAAACAAAGCAAAGCAAAACACAGAATAAACAATAAAAAACCAAGATCATGGTTTATTCATCTTTATATTCCCCCAGCACCTACAAAGTGCCTGGTAGGTAGTAGGCATTCAATAAATATTTGAAAAATTACTCAGTGATGATTAAATAAATGAATGTTATTTCATGTGGATCCCAATCACCTATAGATAGAAGAATGTAAAAAGAGAGAAGATATTTTAAACTTTTGTCTGATGTAATCTTGCACTCCCTATCTGCCCTACTATGTACTTCAGTAATGGGTTATGTGAATGAAGTTGTGCATATTGAGGAACCCAGTAGGAAGGTGGTTAGATTCTCCTGGGGGCTAGATTATCCCACAGTATTTCTCAGTGGCAGTGATAACTGAAAGGCGCTCATGATTCAGCAGGAGCTGGTTTTCTCCATGACTTTTCCAGGACCAGAAGAAGCCATATCCTGACTGGGTGGCAGATGTCCTCAGAGCCATTGCTGCAGATCACCGAACCTGCAAAGGCCACCTCAGGTTTCCGTGGGGCCCCAGAGGGTGGGAAGAAGCATTCATCTTCGATTAGAAGTTACTGGTAAATCTGACAGCAGTGGGTGTCAGCTGAGCCAAGAGTCCTTTGCAGCCAATGCCCCCGGGATATCCGATACCACCGTTTGTGACCCTGAAGTCCTTCCACCCGCTCTTCTATACTCCACTGACCTATGGAGCCTCCCCAGTTTAGACACTGTCTGCTGGCCTTGGAAGGTACCGGCTCAGGATGAAATCTGTCACAGGGGTGGGCAGCTTAGCCAGGGGGAGGTAGAGGAGTTTTGCATCCAGGCCAGGGTTGTAGCGGATGCGAGGGCTCCGGGAAACAACAGCATGCTCCATGCTGTTGATGACATCTCTGACTCTGGGCTCTGCCAGCTGCATCATGTTTTTCAATTTGTCGGTATCTGTTTGAGGGCACAGAGGAGAAAAAGGCTCTGTTATTCTTCATAAAAGATGGTTTCTTCTGAATTCCATACAGCTTCCCTCTCCATCAGATCCCTGATCTAACATTTCAGGCATCAAGTCTGTCACACCCTCCAGGTGGTCCCTTAAACTAACACACATTTATAATACTATCATAAATCATCTTAGCCTGGCCAACATGGTGAAACCCCATCTCTACTAAAAATACGAAAATCAGCTGAGTGTGGTGGCACATGCCTGTAATCCCAGCTACTTGGGAGGCTGAGATACGGGAATCACCTGAACCCAGGAGGCGGAGGTTGTAATGAGCTGAGATTGCACCAATGAACTCCAGCCTGGGGGACAGAATGATATGCTGTCTTAAAATAAATAAATAAATAATCTTATTTCTCTTCCTGAGTTCAACAATTGTGCACTGAATTCCTACTATTGCACTAGACTGGTGATGAGAAGAACTGTGCTACTTATTAGCTATATGACCTTGAGTTTAAACTTTTATCTGTAAAATGGAGATAATACTATCTTTCCTGAAGATTGGGCACAGTGGCTTATGTCTGCAATCCCAGTACTTTGGGAGGCTGAGTGGGCCAATCACCTGAGGTCACAAGTTCGAGACCAGCCTGGCCAACATGGTAAAACTTCATCTCTACTAAAAATACAAAAATTAGTCAGGCATGGTGGCGCGTGCCTATAATCACAGCTACTTGGGAGGCTGAGGCATGAGAATCACTTGAACCTGGGAGGAGGAGGAGGTTGCAGTGAGCCGAGATTGCTCCACTGCATTCCAGCCTGGGCAACAGAGTAAGACTCCATCTTCCCCCCCCACCAAAAAAAATCTGTCCTGGAAAATAACAAAGATGATTAATAGCAGAGTGGACACTTTGGGCGGGGGTGCAGACAGAATAGAAAACATTGTGGGACAAGGGGCTTTTTTTTTTCTTTCCTTCTATGTACTTCCTAAAGTTCCCACATTTAAACAAAAAGCATCCAGGAGAAAATATTATTAAAAAATAGTAGTATTGCCCCTACCTCAGTCATAAGACCATTGTGGACTCAAATAATCTAAGGCATAGAGAAGCACCTGGTAGGGCCCTAACAAATGTGAGGGGCTGTTCTGTTTGCCCTGGCACACAGGGGTGGAGATGGGGACAGAGCACCTGAGTGGTGCAAGTGTGCAGAAGTTCATGACATAACTAGGAGAAGGGCCACAAGCCCACCAGGCCCTCATGTGCACCCTCGCCCCAGGACAGGGGGATTCATGCTTCATTGAGAGCCCTGAGGACTCCAGAGAAAATGGTGCTTCAGCAAACTGCCCTGATAAGGGATGAAAACTTGAAAATGGAGAGGAAGCCAAAGCTGCCCTGACTTTGAGAATGGTCTAGGCAGGCAAGGAATTGACCTGCTTGGGCTCAGGACCCTTGAGGGTGGCTGGTGAGAATGCGGCGGTATCACTTAAGTCCCCTTCACCCCAGACTCTGAGAAACTCCATTTTCTGTTTCCTGGAAAGAAAACTGATGCAGGGAAAAAGCCAAACTACATTTTGGGATCTCAACAAGAGTCACGTAAACTTAAAGCCAGACTGTCTGCAAAGCAGTGAAGTCTTGGGAAGGCGCACCCTGCCCTCTGACCGTGGAGCTAGCACAGAGGCCACCAGCAGCAGGGCTGAGGGTTGAAAGAATCCTTCAGGATGCCCAGGGGGCTGTGTCTGCTTCCTTGGAGCCAGGGAAGCCTTTGTGGGCTGAGGAGGCGGAGCAAGCTGACATGATAAGATGGGCTGGGGCCTGGGTTCTGAGAGGTGGGGAGGGCTAGCACAGGCAGTGGGGCAGAAGAAGGTACCCCAGACATGGGAAGCAGTATGAGGCACATGCTTTCATTGTTTTCTCAAATTGCTATTAGCTGCCATTCAGTGCTGGGCACCCTGCTGGGCATGGAGTGGGAAGGGAGAGGAAAGGACACATCCAGCCCTGTCACTCTCCTCCACAGTGAGGAAGGACATAGGCTTTGGAGTTGGGCACCTGGGAAAACGTTTTTGTTATTGGGAGAATTAAGTAAGATAAAGTCTATAAAGTATCAGGTCTGGTCCTGGGGTTTACAAGCCAGGGGCCTGTTGGATCGCACAGCAGCTTGCGGAGTTGGTACCCAGTGATGCTCCATGACAACTCCTAAATATTTCTTCAGTCTGTTGCACAGCCGCCCGCAACCACCAGAACCACCATGACTTAGAACTTCATGTTTTTATCGTTCCATCACTGGGTTTCTGCAGTGGTCTCCCAGGTGGCCTCTTTATCCTTCCCACCATGACACAAATCTGATATCATTTCAGGGCCATTTACAAGGCTCCCCAGTGCCCTCAGGATAAAATCCACACTCCTTAATATAGCCATCAAAGCCTCTTATGATCTGACTCCTAATGTCTCCCCTCCTCAGTCACCACCCACAGCACTCCTCCTGCCAGACTAATGGCAATGGCAAAGGTCTGTTTGATTCTTACTGTGGCAGAGCTGAGTACTTTGCTCTTAAACAGAAAAGAATTAAACTTTTCTGTTTAATTCTCCTAACAATTCATGAGAGAGGAATTGTACCTTATAAATGGACAAACTGAAGTTTGGAGAGCTGTGTAGCATGATTAGAGGGACTGCTAGAATGCAAGCCTGAATTTGCACTGCCTCCAAAAGCATACAATGCTACGTCAGGTCTCCAAAATGTGGTTCACACCCTTCCTCTTGTGTGAAACATCCGTCACCTCTTTCCCTTTTGGTGTACTCGTATTCATCCTTCAACACTCACTAAGGCATAAACTGTCACCTCTGTGAGGCTTCCGTCGCGGAAGGAAGTCTGCGCTGTTGCTTTGTTTTGTACACATGTCCATTATTGCAAGATTCTTCATGTGATGGTGTATTTGCTTTCGCATCTTCCCTGCTAGTTTCCTGGAGATTGTCTCATTCTCTGTATCCCAATAAACACTGGGTAATGGAAGCGAAAACTCTCGTATGACCACTTGGGAAAACGTTTATCTAAACGTAGTTGATCACTGCCTGAAAACTTTCCTCTGAAATGATGGTGTGGACTACAGGTGAATTGGCCGATGTATTTTATAAACCAGTCCTTACTATTCTTTAGTATAACAATACCAGCTTTTGGACAAGGTTTTCAGAGGAGTTTGCCTTTATACATATTCTTTCATGGACTGCACTAAAGACTCTACAAGCTCTCTTCATCCTGAGTGCTTACTTAGAAAATGACTTTGTGAAGTTTCTAGATACTGGCTGAATATATTTCGCCCAGCCTCAGGGCAGCTCCACAAATAATTGAAACTACTCTTTGCTAAGAGAGATTACACAGAGGATAAATACTCTTCCCCCCACACTCTAACATCTACTCTCCTTGTTCCCAACAGCTGCAGATTTCCCTTTGGGGATCTATGCCTCCCCCACAATGAGTCCGTTGGTCTGGGGAGAGCACGTGGCCCAGCCTGTGCCACACTTTCACATTCCCCTGGGCACAGTGATTGGTTTAGGGTTGGGTACATCTTGTGGCTGCCTATGATTCGGCCACCATAGATCCTCCAAGTCAGAGTGTACATTAGGACTTTTGGGAGAGGCACTGGAAAGAACTCTCCTATTTTCCCAGCAGACCTCACCCTGGGTGGAGGTGAGGAGATGCTGCAGCCATGTGGCCCCCATAGGGGAGAGAGCTTAGAGACTGGAGTCAATGCAAAAGAAGCAGAGCTAAGAAATGGGGGAATCCTAACAACATCATTTGTGGGCTGGGTTGGGTTGTACCTGAAGCTTATCTTGCTCAACTTTTTAGTCAGATGAGGCAAGAAATTCCTTTTCTGCTTAAATAATTTGCACTGGATCTTCTGTCACTGAGTAAGTCCCAACTAATGTAAATCCTTAGACATTTTCTTCCCACAGAATCCTAACATATCTAGCACTAAAAGATGACTTTATCTAAGGGGTACTCCAAATTTTTCTTGGTGGCTTCCCAAAATCAATGAATGAATGACTCCTCCATCCACCAGGTTCTTCAAGCTGTAAACCCAGCACTCATCCTTGATGGCTTCCTCTCCCTCACCCCTTCATCCTCAGTGTGCTTTGATGCTCTGATTTATTCTGTATACACCAGGTACCCACCATTGCTCCCCATCTGCTGGTTTCTTTGAAGTTCCTCAAATGGAGTTTTCTGCCTCAGAGCCTTCCTACAGAAAAAAAGCCCCTACTCATCTCCTTTTTCCCCTTCCCAGCAACATCTAACTCTTATTCCTCCTCAAAGTCAACTCAGAGAAGCTCCCCACTTCACCATCATCCGAATTGGGGCACACCTTCCCACTCCATCCTTCTTTCACATACCTCTTTCTCCTTTGTAGCACATATCCACGTTTACCATTAAACACATAGGTTTTTGTTAATGTTTGTCTCTCCCACTGAGCCCTAAGCTACAGTCAGTGAGGGCCAAGCATACCACTTTGTCCACTCCAGCTCTCTGGCCCCACACATGCTTGTGACATGGCAGACTTGCAATAAAGCATGTATGTATTCAGTGAAAAATGACTGTGTTCTGTTGACATATGATGTCCAACAGACGATTTTTTGCAGCACAAAGTTTTGGGGCAGCAGGGTAAACAGCTGCCATGTCTCCTTTATCCTCTAAAAACAGCTATGAGTCACAGGAGTCCCTCAGCTCAGTGAGGGAAAGAGAGCTACCTAGAGACCCTCCCTTTTAAATCCCCATGTGCTTGTTTTCTTCTTTATTAATGAGCACTCAGAGTGTGCAAGGTACTTCACACATGATAACCCTCACAGCAAGCCCATGAGGGAGGCACTATCTTTGGCTCCATTTTGTAAATGAGAAAACTGAGGCATGGGAAAACTAGGCAATAGGTCCAAAGTCTCCTAGCTGGTAAGTAGTAGAGCCAGCTCTTGATCTCTTGGTTGTACTTATCTCAGTGCATTTTCACCTGATTCCCCTGCATCATGATGCTGTGGAGGTAGGTGTCAGGAGTGGGCCACATTGCTCTTAACTCCCCGCACAGCTCCAGCAGTGATAATTCTGCCACTTCTCTCTATTCTCAAACCCCAGTTCTACCACTGTGTGACCTGGAGTCCTGAACTCCTCTGAATTAGACCAACCCGCTCCCCTCAGAGACCCTCTCCTGCCCCAGGAACTTACAGATGCGGAAGTACTCCTCTCCATAGCTGTCCCGGGTCTCCTGAGGTAGCCTCTCCCAAAGCTTTCGCAGGCGTGACTCCATGCCTTCCTTGCCCAGAATGGCTGTCCGGTAGTTCCCTGGCTCAATGATGCTGACCTTCACCCCAAAGTAGTAGAGCTCACGCCTGGGAAAGATGAGTTGCACTCAGTCTGGGCCCCGAGATGACAATCATCATGGAGAGTCACCTCTAGATGGGCTTGTCTTTCAGGAACCTAGAGATGCTTCCCCCACCCCTGCACTTGGCCCTGGCATTGTCGTTTTGCAAATAAGCCCCTCCTTAGGGCCTCAGCCCTTTCCCAAGCTGGCGCAGCAATCTCTGGGCAATTTGCATAAGGCAGGGCCAGCGGGAGGAAGTCAATAGAGAATCTAGGCCAAAGTGTGGTCTCCCACCAGGTCCCTCCCATTATCAACCCTTCACCCAATACCCACATGGTGAAGGGCGTGGGTGTACACAAGGCCTGCATGCTCCTCTGAGGACCTCCCAGAGGGGACCTCTGCCTCCAGGCCTGTCTGTCTGGGGGACTCTCCCTCCTCCTCTCACAGGCCCAAACAGCATTTTACTTACCCTGTGCAGCTCAAGGGAAGGCCCGCCTGATGCCTTATAATTCCACTCTACCTCCTCTCCTAAGCTCTTCTCTTAGTCTTGGAGAAAACACCTTGAAGTCTAACCTTCCTTCTGCTACTGTGTTAGCTTCTTGTCTGCAGAATTTCCCTGCCCACATGCTGTCACTCCCAACCCTCTCTGACCCCTGGGATTTCCACCCAGAAGGTTTAGTACCAGGGCCCAGTTACCTAATGCTGTCAGAGAAGGCTTCGACGCCAAACTTGGAGACACAGTAGCCACCACCGATGACAGCCACACGACCACCAGAGCTGGACATGTTGACAACCCTGCCCCGGGCTCTCCTGACCATGGGCAGCATGTGAAGGGTCACTTCGATCAGTCCCACCAGGTTCACATTGATCACCTTCACAAAGTCCTCCTTGGTCAGCCATTCGTTGGGACCACTGGGCAGGCCCACACCAGCATTGTTCACCAGGGCCCAGAGGCCTAGGGGCGAGATGGAGAACCACACAGAAATTAGCAATGGGCTGGGAAAGAACCAAGGTCTGCTCCCCACCAGCTCAGGGCCCTCAAGGATGGTTGAGCAGATGCACAAGACATAACATGGTCAGGTTATAACATAAAACAAAAGTGTGCCTTTTACTAATTAGTTTTCCCCAAAGGGACACTTTTTCCTGATTCACGTAAAATCTGCCAGCTAGCTGGGGCTCTGTACCAGCTATAATCTAGGTGTTAGCTCACAGCATTTCAACTATCAGCTTTGGGATAAGAGTTTCATTTGTATACCAATGAATTAATGTTTGGATCCTTCCCCATCATGCTTCACCCTCTCTATTTACTTAAGTATAACCAACTGCATTTCACATACTACCAAAATCAGTCCGTTCATTCATTCATCTTCACATGTTTATTCATGCATGCATCTAGTAGGTGACAATTACAGGGTGAAGGAAGCCAGGTGTAGAGGTTTACACCTGTAATCACAACCCTTTGGGAGGATGAGGTGGGAGGATCACTTGAGTTCAGGATTAGAGACCAGCCTGAGCAACAGAGTGAGAGCCCTGTTTTGACAAAAAAAAAAAAAAAAAGTCAGGCATGGTGGTGCATGCCTATAGTCCTAGCTACTTGGGAGGCTGAGGTGGGAGGATCACTTGAGCCCAGATGAGAGTTTACCTTGTTCAAAATTACACTGAGCTGTGATGGTGCCACTGTACTCCAGCCTGGGTGAGCGAGTGAGACCCTGTCTCTAAAAATAAAATAAAATGATATAAAATAAAATAAAATACAGGGTAAAGGAGACACAAAATGAACAAAACAGCATCTTACCCCTGAAGGAACTCACAAGCCAGAAAGGAAATAATACTATTTATAAATAAATATATAAAATATTTAAATAAAATTTGTATGAAAAATGTGATGAGGATTCTGAGATATTTCCATTGGGTTGGTACAAATGGAAAGAAATAATGCTAAGTGTTGTCATTCAACTCTGCAGGGGCCCAGGGTTGAAGAGTTTTATGTCCAGTCCTGGTTTTACTTCCAGCCTTGGACAAGTCACTTCCCTCTCTGGGCCTCAGGTTCTTCATCCATTGGACTGCAACAGTTGTTTCCAGACTGTGTTTTGCAAGCCTGCTAGGAGGAGGAAAATGCAGGAGAAGCTCTCCTTTCACTTGTTTTACACACTGGGCTTCCAAAAAATTCCACCAGAGGGCGGGTGATACAAAGGATACACTGGAAACCCCTCTAAAAGCTCCTTAAGGTCCCCTTCTGGCTCCTTCATGCAAGCCCTACTGCTCTGGTGATTCTCCCCACAGCCCCAGCCTCTGCAGCCTCCAGATACTCTGCAGGCACATCCCACTGTCTCCTGAAGGCAGGTCTCAATGCAAACAAATTCTAGTCCATCCCTTCCCCTAGGTCTGGGGTTCCCACCCAAGTCATGCCCCTACACAATCTCCCTATCTTTCTCTATCCAGGAGCAATGAGAAGCATGCAAGAACTTCATCTCCCATCCCCCCTACCCACCCCAGTTCTCAGTTTTTCTTAGACCAGGATATTGCCCAATGGCCTAGGCAAAATAACAGTCCCTCGAAGATGTCCCCATCCTCATTATCTCTGGAACCCGTGAATCTGCTGGGTTACATGGGAAAGGGGAATTAAGGTTGCAGGTGGAACGGAGGTTGCTAATCAATTGTCCTTAAAGTTAGGGAGGAAGCTAACACAGGGAAATTATCCTAGATGAACCTGGTGAGCCCGGTATAATCACGAGTCCTTCTAAGTGGACAAAGGAAGCAGAAACCAGAGAATCAGAGAGACTGAGAGAAGTGTGAAAAACACTGGCCCCAACCTTGTGAGCTTTGAAGATGGAGGTAACCGGCCAGGAGCCAGGGGATGCCAGCTGCCTCTGGAAGCTGGAAAAGGCAATGAGACGAAGTCTCCTCCAGAGCCTCCAGAAGGAACACAGCTCTGCTGACTTTGATTTTAGATCAGTGAGACCCATTTTGGGCATCTCTTCTCCAGAACCAGAAGATAATATGTTTGCATTGTCTTCAGACCCTACCGTTGAGTTGTTACAGCAGCAACAGGAAACTAACATGCTAAGTGAGGCATTAAGGCAAGTGGCTCAAGGCTGAATGCAGGGAACTGGCTGAGACAGCCTGCTGAAGACAGAGGCTCACTCTTGCTGAATTATCAATTAATTCACTCACTCAAAAACTACGTATTGAGCACCTTACTAGGTGCCAGACATTATTCTAGGTACTAAGAACATGCAGTAAATAAAAGGGCCAAAAATCCTTCTTCCCAAGAAGCTTTACTCTAGCAGAGGAACAGACAATAAATAAGTAAAATCTGTTGTACTTTGAATGGTGATGAGTGCTAAGGAGAAAAATCAAGCAGGGAGTTACTGTTTGACTCCCCCTGGCTCCAGGACTCTGTTGCCCTGAGCTGTACGTGGGCTCCAGACCAGCTCCTTTAGGAGGGAGGACTTCCTCTGGGCTGCTGCTTCTGCAACCCAGCCATCCTGTTCATCCTGTTCCTGTGCCCACACCCTGTGTGCTGGAAGTGCATGAGGCAGGTCCCCACATAGTCCTGGGTCAGCCCCAGCCCACAGCTTCCTTTCCCAGTATGAGCAGCCACTCTGACATACTTGCCCCGAAGTTAAACCAACACCCACCATGGTGTCAATAAGAGACCAGATCTCTTTCTCCCCTGCCTGACACAGTCAAAGAGAGAAAATGCACCTACTCATGGGATCCAACCTCCTGTCTCAGTCCCCCTCTCCCTATCCTGATACCAACAAGAAATGTACTTGTATTTCCCCAGGAGCTGATGGTTAGGACTGCTGAAGCTTCAGAGAGGCACATCCATTTTTCAAGGTTTGGACACACAGAACACATCTTTCCCCATCACTTCCTATTAAGACCTCTTTCCTGTCTCTCTTGAGTTTCCAGGACAGAAAACTTCCTTGGGAAATCACCCCTTCATGTGAACAGGCCAAACCATGCAGTGGCTTCCAATCAGACTGAGGCGGGGCCCTTTCCCTACATCACCTCTCCCACCCCATCTGGACATCAGGGTCTCTGGTACTGTCAGATGCTTTGGGAGAGGAAGAGAAAGAAGGAGAAACCAAAAACGCCAAAGTGCAATTCGCCCCACCTTGCTCGCCCACTTGGTCCCTCACCCACTGGGCCGCCGCCTTGATGCTTTCACTTTTGGTGACATCCAGTAGGGTGGTCTGCAGCCGACAGGAGGTATCCTGCTGAAGTTTCTGGGCTCCCTCCTCAGTGAAGCAAGCAGCCAGCACCTGCATGCCCCGATCAACCAGCTGTTTGGCCAGCAGGTTCCCGAAGCCAGAGTCACAGCCTGTGATGAAGACATACTTCTCTGAGAGATTGCTGACCAGATTGCAGTTCTTGAACCAGCGGTACATAAACGAGAGGTCCGTGAGGGCCGCCATAGGGCAGGATCAATGTGATAGCCAAGAGGGACTGGGCTCAGGAGACAGCAGGGAAGAAGCTGGTTCTCTGAGCCCTAGCCGGCAGTCTGCGGGAACCCACCAGGAAGAAGAGTTCTTCTCCCTCCCAAAGCTTGCAACAAATCTAGGTCCCTGGGTGAGCCACGCTGTAATTTTTATAGGTGGATGCATCACCACAGCAATTAGCCCAGATGCAAGAAATTCAAGTCCAACCTGAAGCTTTGTCACCTCTGACAGCCCTGGTGGCTGCCTCCCTCTCTCCTCCTGCCCTGATGGGTGAAGGTGATGAGAATGGGAAAGAATCCACTGGCAATGTTGGTGATGAATGGTGGCACACTCAGGCAGTGTAAGGGAGGCAAATGAAAGAGGAGGACTCACCTCAGACAGCTCCCCTAGAAACCTTGCCTCCACACTGCCCCCAGCCCTGCCTGGGGGCTTTGGTTCCCAGGGATCAGAATCATTTGTCATGAGTGCAGGTATGTAAATAAGTTTAAGTTTTATTTTCAGGGAAAATGCTCAAGATGAATTCATTAATGCAATACAAACAACATTGGTTCTGTGCATTCCTAACCTCAAGAGAAACAATATGTGGTCAGCTCTTCGGAATTCTTAGGTAAATCTCCATCATGAGAGAGGATGAAAAGCAATAGATTTCTCCCAGTGTGGATGTACCTCCATTGTCCCGAGGCCACAGGCAGCAGGGCCATTCTATAGGGGAGGCTGGTCATGTGAAGCCCAGCTACCAGAAAGCAGAAAGACCTGGGGCACTCAGGCCTGATGCCCTAGGGGAAGGGGCAGTGATACTCAGATCACCAGTGAGCAGCCCCAGGCCAGATGAATGAGGAGGGATTATGAGTTCACTGGGCAGCTGAGGGAAGGGTCTGGGCAGAGGCCTTGGCTCTGAGAGGGGATGAGATATAGGAGGAGCAGAGAACTGGGGCCAGAGACATAGAAAATTCTCAGGGTCAGCCAGGCGTGGTGGCTCAAGCCTGTAATCCCAGCACTTTGGGAGGCCGAGGCAGGTGGATCACGAGGTCAAGAGATCGAGACCATACTGGTCAACATGGTGAAACCCCATCTCTACTAAAAATACAAAAAATTAGCTGGGCACGGTGGCGTGTGCCTGCAATCCCAGCTACTCAGGAGGCTGAGGCAGGAGAATTGCCTGAACCCAGGAGGTGGAGGTTGCGGTGAGCCGAGATCGCGCCATTGCACTCCAGCCTGGGTAACAAGAGCAAAACCCTGTCTCAAAAAAAAAGAAAGAAAGAAAGAAAATTCTCAGGGTTGGGACTTGGAGGAGAAGGAGAGATTCCAGGCAATTTAGCAAATAATTTGCAGAAAGCTAAGAGGGAAGGTGGTAAAGGAAAGAAAATTAGGAAACCAGAGGTGTGAGTAGTGATGGAATTGCTTAAGATGCCGGGACAGAATGATGCTGGAGCCACTGGCGGTTCTTTGGATCAACATCTAGGGTCACCATTCCTTGGAATGAGCCTGATCCCAGCTCACACCTTCGTGGCTTAGAGGGCCTGACACAGAAATGGGACCACAAAGTTCTCTAGCATGAAGGGACAAAGGATGTATCTCTGTGATCCACCATTTGCCAAGTCTGACCAGCACAGAATCAGATTAAGTAGGTGTCACCTTGGAAAGCCCCACAGTGTTTGGCCATTTCTTACCAAGAAAGGGGAGGAGGCCAGATCAAGAACACACCCCGAAGAGCAGATCCAAAGCTTAGAGGTGGAAAATGGTAGAAAGCAAATCGCACCTACTTCATAACCATCCCAAGGCAGACTACCTCCTCTGTGGGATCTGGGAAGCATCTCCCAGGCTCTATCTGCCTCCTGGGTGAATGAACGGAGAAGTCTTGGCTTGGCAAGGTCATACCACATCACTCAAGAGCTGAGCAGGCCCGGGGCAGTGGGTATCCCTTTTCTTGAGGACACATGTGAGGTCCAGGAGTTGGCTCTGAACCTAAAATGAGGATAACTCAGAACTGCTCCAGGTCTGGGCCTGACTCAGCACCTCTGGGGCCTCTATGCCGGCAGTGTTCCTCTGGCCTAAACTAAACACACAGGCCATGAGAGTCAGGGGAGTGAGTGCTGTAGGACCACACAGAAGACTCTTCCTCCCAGAGCTAGAAATGCGTCCCTCTCTCAGATGACAGGTCTGACTGCCAAGCTGGCCCCTAAGACCTGATAGGTCACACTGGTAGCTGCACTCCCCATCCCCACCCCATGCACACAGGCATCTCAGTGGAGAGGAGCCCTCTCCTCTGCCAGGCCATTTCCCTCTGGTGGGAGGGCATAGATTTGCAAGGGCCAAGGCACACCCTGATGAGGTGGACAGGAGTAAGAGCAGGTTTGGGCTCACCCACCCCCAGTTGCTCAAGACCTTCAACAAATGTGGATTCTTCAGGGTGACAGGTGGGCCATGAGGCTTAGGAAGTGAACCCAAGGAAGTGGGAAGCCATTATCTGTGATTGGGTCTTCCGTCCTAAGCAGCAAAACCTGGTTCTTTTCTCCTAAAATCACCAGGGTCCTGAATAATGTCTCAGGAAAAACCTAGAACAGAGGTGAGGGAAGTGAGGTGCAGAACCTTAAGCTTGAGAGCTCCCTCCCACCACTCTTTATCTGAAACAGTACTCTTCCCACGTGCCATGACGTTAAAGTGAGGGCCAGTCACTGAGTACCACAAAGAGGTCGCTGGAGAGAAGAGGATCTGGGGCACCAGTGCCTTAGTGGCATGCCATGGCTTCCTTGTTCCTCTGTCTACTCCTGTGACCCCAGGCTACTTGACTTATTCCTACAAAGGAAACAATTGCCTCTCACCTTGGAGGCAGAAAGGTGAGAACGCAGAGGGCTGAGACAGGGCAGGGATAATCCAACTTCTCTCTTCAATTTTCTTCCCAGTTTGTCCCTCCCATCCCCAACCCCCATGAAGGCACCTGCCTCTTCCTTGCTCAGGCTCACAGCCCATGCTCCCCTCCGACTAGAAAGCAACTTGCTGCACATGGCCACCGTTTCCAGCTTTTCCTCCAGAACAAAAGTAACCAAAGAAACCCACAGTTTCAAGAGAGTAAAAAATTGGTTTCTATCTCCTCTTTCAGAATCCCTATTGAGGACACCATTGCCAGCCACTGCCCCCAGAGCTAACACTGAGGTCTAGGAGTCAGACTGACGGCTGCCCTGTCACCCCACACCATGTCCACAGGTATATTCAGAGGAGCTCCCGCCCCGACTTTCTCCAGGCCATTTCCATCACGGGGAGGCGTAATAGACTGGCCAGGTTGAGGCATACCTGGGGAAGGAGTAGGAAGCAGAGAAGGTGTGGGCTGCAGATCCTTCCCCGGTCACACCCTCCCCTTGTGTAGACTCCTCAGAATTGGCCAAGAGACTCAAAGACAACAGGGCCCCTATAAATAATACTGGATCCCATCCTTTAGCAGGACACCTTGGTTCTTTCCTCCTAATATTGCCAGTCCTCAGTGATATCTTGGTGGAATCCTGTGGAGGGCATGATGAAGAAGGTGGGGTAGGCATCCAGATGACATGAACACCCCCTCCCACCTGCCATTACTCTCCCCAGGACACATCACCTCTTCCAGGTCACCTAGCTCCTCCCAACCATGCACCCCAGTCTTGGCTTCACAGGGGCTTAGCCGGCCTTGGAGAACCCCAGTGGGGCATGACAGCTATCAAGAAGATAGGCATGTAGGTCGTGGGCTGGTAGAGAAGACTGGCGTCTCAGCCAAATAAATAGTGAGTGCTCCATGCAGTGGGTTTCCAAGGATAGATTCGTACTGCATTTTGCCCAAAGGCTTCTATATGCTTTTCTGATGTCTGTTCAGGATGAGAAAAGATCCTTAATGTACTAGCACATTCCTCCCCTCCCATTTAGACCTCTGAATTAGGAGGAGAGTGTCTAAGAATCCCTGGGCCCCCAATGATATGCCTCAAGTCTAATCCATCCATATTCCCAAGGGAGTGCCCCAACCTTCATCCCAGGAACACTTGTTCTACTGTAAGCCCCCTCTGCCTCTCTTTTCGAGATACCTGGACTCCTAAATTGAAGGTCTTTGCTGATAGCAGAAGAATATGAAAATCGGTTATCTCTAAACCCAGCTGCCCATGAGCCCTCTGCTATCCACCGTCTCTGACTTTAGTTTCCTTCTCAAAATAATGAGGAGTTCAGATGAGCCAGGGGTCTGAATTACAGGAAGCTGGGATGCTTCTTTTAGGGGACCAGTTCACCACATGGCTAAATGGGCTAAATGTCCTCACTTTGTTGGGGAGGCAGAGTCTGGAGGACAGATTCTCACACTGTCGGAGGCACTAATGATGGACCCAGACTTCCAGACAAGGATTTGTTTCTCTCCCCACTGTCCACAGCTCACTCATAGGCTGTCAGAAACTTCTTCCCATAGGTCTTCTTGACCTCGGGGATGACCTGGTCTGATAGCTCCTTGAGGTTCTGTGAATGCCTCTCAGAGCTAGCTGCTCATATGGGTCTTGAAGTAACAGAATTCGATCACAGCCACCTTCACACCAGAGTGAGAAAGCTCCCTCCTGCGAGGCAGACATGCGGAAGGGCAAGGACTTCGGAGGTGCTGGGAGGCAAAACACAAAAAAACGAAGAAACCCAGTAGAAACCCAGCAGCAACGGCAGTGGGAGACGCTAGAAAGCTTGAAGAGTTGGGAAGGGTAGCAGACAGCAGATAAGTTATAATGGTGGCGTTGCCTCAGTATAGGGTTTCCATATTTTACGTACTGGAGCATACTAGTCCTAAATCCTACCAATTCTAGAGCAAGGCAGCACCTCAGTGCTGTCACCTCCTATGCCCCTCACAGCCAATGGATCAGCAGAATTCCCACATTCTATCTCCTCTGCTCCCTCCCTTCTTCTCCTGCCACAGGAAGCTCCCTGGCATCCGAGCTGGGCGACAGCAGCTTTCCTCTAAGGAGCACCCCCTGCCTTCAGCCTGGCTCCACACACTCACAGCCACTGGGCTCACTGTAGTCAGTGGGTGTCTAAAGCCGATTAGACCAAGGAGCTCCCCTGAGCAAATCCCTTTTTTTGGGGGTTCCACTGCCAACAGCATGAGGCACAGCTCCTGTCCAGGGCCTCCATGAGCCCATGTGCACCCACCTGCCCAGCTCCCCCACAGGCCTGGCCCTGTGCTTCACTCCACGAGGACCCCACAGCACAGGCAGTTGGCTGACCTGGGCTGAAGACACAAGTCATTCCCCCATTTCTATTCAAGGCTGCCAGGTGGGGATCGTCAGTCTCTAGCTCAGACCCTGTCTCCAGGACCCTCCCCAACTCAGGAGGCTGCCAAGGCCGGCAGGGCTGACTGGGTCACAACCCCTGTGAGAATTGGCAACAAGGATTCTGGCTCTCTTGCCCCTCCCTCAGCTGTCAGGTCAGGGCCAAAATCTTATTGTTGTCCTAGGCTGTTTACTGGGCATTCCCAAGGGCCTAAAGAGTCTGTTGTTT